GTGTGCCGACAATGTCAAGTGTACTTTTTAGGGCCATTTAGGCATGCATAACGTCATAGCAATGCCATTCAATGCCTGCCACTCCACAGGGCAGGCGTCGTCCAAGACCAGGGAGAATATTGTCGTCCAACTGTTCAGATCTGACGCCCGTGAGCACCACTTCCACACAAAGTGGGCGTCAGTTGGCTCTCAGACAATGTTGAGGAAGCCGTGCAAACCTCCATCATGGAACGTGTTTTGCGCTACATAATATAAGAAGTGGAACATGGTTTCATCATTTGCTAGCTATTTTGCAGATAAGACTTGAAATCGAATAGCTTAAGAATAACGCAATAACCGAGTGTGTTAATACAAGCAAACATCTTAAACTCGCGGGTAAATATGCAAGAACACCACAAGAATGGGTGAAAACACGAGCGCATAACGATATCCATCTCTCGACGAGTTTGAGAAACTACAAGCATGCGGCAATTTCACACGGCTAGGCTGGCAGTACCTCGACGTCATACAAACGCTCCATAACGGGATAAAACAATGATGTATTGGAGGGCATATTAACCAACTAGAGAAATGTGTTTGCGAGTGCGGGGGGAGGGTGTGTGTGTGTGTGGGGGGGGGGGGTTATACGGTAGGCGTGCGTGCGTACGTGCGTGCGTGCGTGCGTGCGCTGCGCTACTGCCGAGCCGCCGCTGGGTGTTTGTGCGCCGCCCGCTGCTGCTGTCACACCTCCCCACATAAGCAAATTTATAATGAGGCGCCCTTTGGTTAACATACAAACCCGATGATGTAGGCGCACGACTCAGCACGCTGCGATTCCGGTACACCCAACATCAACACACACTCATGTGAGCCACAGAGCTAGGATGAAGCGGTGACCGGGGCATTGGCGGGATCGTTGTTCCGATCAGGTACCGTGAACGCTGGCTCCCCGTACATGGCTGTGCGCCCTTAACCACGGTATCCCACCTCCATCTTTTTAGTGCATGATGATAATTAAACGGGGCAAAAACGGAACAGGATGCACTGATAATGCGCCCAACAGGCAAGGCTCCCACGGACAGGCGAATTGGACAAGGGCCCGCTGGATAACAACCCTGGGAGTCCCCCGGCCTGAACCAATCCACGCAGACTCAATGCATTCGGCGTCCCACCACACTCACTCCAAGCATACACACACGCTGGCCGCGTCACCCCACTCATTCTTGGCTTGCACACGGGTGGGACACACCCACCCCTAGCCAGCGCCTTGACATTATAATTGGCTAGCCTACGTGAGTCCTCGTTAAGCCAACTTAAATTCATTTGTGATATCGAACATTCAATAAAGCCATGTTTAAGCCCTATTTAAAATATGTCATGTGAGTTCATTGGCTCTGCAACAACTCAGCTAACGAAGTAAATAAAACGGGAACGTGGTTTCCCAAAACAAGTTGGTTGGCTGAGTTATGAAAAACAACGAAGTGTACCCTGATGAAGTACCCTGATAATGTGCCAACAAATTGGTTTCTCTCCGAAATTGGCTCACTTTTTCACAGATCTGCAGGCTGCATCCCAAGTTACGGCGGGGAATGAGACTCCTGCGACTGAATAGGGAACCGCACTGCTGGTCGCAAGTAAATAGGAAGTAAAAAAGCAAACGTCGACACTGAATGTATTTAACTGTCTGCCAAACGTCACGCAAAACACTACAAATGTGCCTCGCTTAAGGCGCTGTTGACTCACCATCTGAACGACGGATCCGAGTGTATGCCACTGAGATGGTTTACGATATATAAGCTCAATGAGTTGGGAGAATCGTGAGCTTATATTCGCCATCCACTTTAACGATCTTGACACGCTTTCTTCCTTTTACGCTTCGGAACCTCCCAAGTATAGAATTTGGGGTCCAGCAAAACCAGTTACAGCACTGCCAAAAACACTGCCAGTTCAGTCGGCGCGCCGCCATCTTCGCGTCAGAGTCCGAGGCCACTGACTTTGCACCAGAGCCCGAGGCCACTGACTCGGTTTCACTCGGTTCGCCGCGGTACACATCCCGGCGGACCGGACATCCGGACTTGTCGGACATCCCTGGATCTCGCTCGTGCTGGACCGGAGTCGCCCCCCCCCCCTCCCTCCTCCTTGTTGACGGGCGCCTTAATGGAAGGGCCATGTGCCAGTCAAGAACCAGCACCGGACCTGCCCCGAACACCGAACACAGCACAGCACAGCTGCACAGCACCGAACCCTCTGCTCATTTTGTCTACGGCATCAATGTGTCCAACGGGGATCCCTGTACTGTTTATTAAACCCACTACGCTTGGGACCTTTTTGGGTCGGTGAATGACCCCGCGTGGATCCAGGGCCAATCATCCCGGTCAGAGGGCCTGCGGCGTCAAAGGGGCTACCAATATATCATGTGCGTTAAAAGAAACCGATTGGAAATCTAAAAGGGGACGGAACGGTTCTTCAGCACCAATCGGGAAATGCATGGGGTCTCAAGTTTTGGCTGAAAACTATATTGGGGTCTGGCTATTGAAGGGGGCGGGGGGGATGCGAGAAGGGCGAGGGGTCCAGCAACCCCCTGGGAGGAGCTCTTTTCGGAACCGTGAAGTCCAAAAAATTACCGTACTGAATGAGAAGAGCAAACAATATTGCCAAATAAAAGTTTTGACAATACCGTAGCAGCGTCTAGCAGTCCATGAAGCCCTCTCTGGTAAACTCGTGAACCCGTTCTGGCCGATCAGTCGGGACTTCCTCGTCGCCAGGGGTGCACTGGAATTTAAGGCCCTTAAAACTGCTTAGACCTCTGTTGCCCTTCAAACTATGGACACTAATGGAACTGGAAAACTATTTGGATACCCTGGTCGCTCAGGGGTCGCATTTACCGCTCAGGTACCTCCAGTAGCGCACACAGGAGATGTACAGGGGCCCGTGCCCTGCTCCCTCCCGCCCAAGGGCTCTGGGGACAGGCGATCAAAGACCCGATTCGTGGCTCCGAGGAGCCCGAAGGGATCGGTGTAGATCGTATTAGGCATCCCGGCCCTGCGGCCCAGCTCCGCATAACCGGTATCACTTGCACATAACCGGTATTACAAAAACTGATGTATGTAGGTATAAGATTCATGTAAGAACAAGCGCGAGATAAATTACGTTAGTTGTTCATTGCATTAGCGAGCAACATTATTAACATAGATAAGACAACAGTAGTATAAGTGTTATTCGCCGGAGAAAAAAAAGGAGAATGGAGATAAAGTTGGGTGGATATTTTGGCAACATGCCTTTATCCACACTGTCGCAGAAGGGAACTCAAAATTTTCTGCCGATAATCATATTCGATTTTTCATGTTTTTTTTTGTAAACGAGAGGCCAGTTTTTACAGGACGCCAACACTCAGGGGATTAAGAAAATAGCGTTTGCCAGCCATTACCACGGGACAGTGCCTATCTAAGAATTACATTGCACGAACATACGTGTTCGTGCGAACGAATTCAAACCAATGGGCATCACGCATCACGCTTCATTCAAACATGCAAGCAAACTGAACGTTAGCATGATCGGCCATGATGAGCCCTGCATGTTAAGATTTCGTCGCCGACTTTTTATGAGAATGGATTCACTTATTGTCTTTTCTGGGTAGTCCTGTGCTCTGCAGACAACTACAGAGGACATCCATATATATATATATATATATATATATATATGTACGCGTTTTGCTAATCAATGGGCAAGTGGTTAAGTCATGCATCAAACTTCGCGACAGGTAGTGGCCCAGAATCGACCAAGACAAAGGGCCATTGTAGGTTAAGTCGATCAGATTTGTTATCGAAAATCAGTTTTAGCGCGTGTCCCGTTCATTAACGACAGCCTCATGGTAGAGCAATGCGAATACACCTTCAAAAATAACTATATCTCAAAAACACTGCCACGCCAAATGCTCACATGCATTATATATGTTTTCGTGATTGACGGTGACAAGTTAGTTAGATGCCTCTTGCTGTGAAAATGACAGCATATCGCGCAATTTTCTGTTTCTTGTAAAAATCGTCTAGCCTCCGGAACATCCGGCCGAATTACGACCGGGGTATATAACGGGAGAGCTTTGGCACCCATAGATCAGGGTGCAAAAGTGTGTATTCATGTAATGTTGCGCTCAGGAAATCTGTGGTTGATAGTAATATTCCCTCTGCATGTGTGTTGTTCGTATGTCTAAGTACCTCTGCTTGCTGTCTATCTTAACCATCGCCCTGATTCCCCGTTTTGCATAACCTGGACTGAGATGGGGAGACGGGGTTCACCGACAGCCTCCAGCGCACGTCCCTGAATCCCTGTAGATCCAACGCCGTTTAGGATTACTATTCAAGGCTATCTGACGCTATTCGCTGCTAACTCTACTACTCCGTCGGCGCCATTTATGTAGCCTCCCGCGTTTTTTGGAGGCGCGTGAAGAGCCGTGATAGCGCGATTGGTTGGTAGTATAGAGAAAGGCAGTATATAACTTTAGGTCAGTGTCATACACAAACTATCGTATCAGGCTCAACGCCGGTGAATACATGTAACGATGTTTACTTTGTATGGCTGGCTTGCTCTATTAGGTGGATAAAATTCTTCCGCCCTTGCTGCATTGGCGTCCGAGCTCGGTCACGCAACAGCCTGACGTCCCAGATGGTCTAATTTTGTACATAACTTTGTAGAGTGATGTGTGTGTGTGTGTGTGTGTGAGTGTGCGCGTCATTGGGGCTTTACCACGCACTCAGCTGCTAATGCTATATGGCGTCGCCTGCCTCTCACCCTGGGAAGGCAAGGCAGGAACCACGGGAATCGAACCCCACACCTCTGGTTTCCCAGATGTGCAGTGGCATACACTTGCTACTACCGGGATCCCTTGTGGGGCGATTGAGCAGTCTGTTATCCCAAATGAATGGTGCAAACCGCATTCTGCTTGGTTTTGACTAAGTTGTCCCAAAGTTTGAGAAGGGCTGGCATTCCATCCAACTAAATAGGAAACTTCACCCCTGGTTCCAAATTGAGTATATTTAGATCAGTAAAAGCTGGGGTGGGTATCACATTGTGCTAGAATCTTTCCCTTAATTGAGAAAGATTGTTCCCTGGCTAGAGTGCAGCTGCACCAACTAATATGATCTGGATGCTACTATTTATGTTGGTTGCATGATATTTTGATAATAAACCTGTCATGATGTGCCCTGGAGAATGGTGGTGCAACAAGTGCACATCATTTTAAGCATTTGTTTCAGTCAGCCTTGATTAGGGCTCACACCTTTACAATATAATGATTAATATCAAAACTTCCTATGCCCTCCATGGCTTCAAATAATAAAATAGGTATGAGCATAGACTTGGGAAGGAGGCACTTAGAAAGCCAAAAAATTAAAACATTGCAAGCAGCCAATGTCTAGTGCTCTTTGGCAATCACTGAGGCCAACTAGAGCATGGTGTTTTCTGTCATCTGCTGCCAAAGGATGTTCTTTGCAGTGACTATTTTGTCACTGTCAGTCACTTTGTCAGTGTCTATTCTACCAGCTGTGAATGCAGTGCAAATTCACCTGGGTTATTTTGTTCTCACTACAAGCTGTGATTTAATATTTTTGTTCTCTCCCCCAAGGAGCAAAACCAAATTTCTCATACTGCTGGCATCCCATCCAAGTAAATAGGAAACTACAGCCCTGGTCACAGCTGAAGTATATCTAGGGCAGTGCAAGCCTAGGTGGGTATCACATTGTCCCAGAATCTTTCCCTTAAGTGAGATGTCCCAGAATCTTTCCCTTAAGTGGGAAAGATTGTGCCTTGGCTAGAATGTAGCTATGCTAATGACTGTGACCCAGATGCTCCGATTGATGTTATTGTGACTTGACATTTTGATCATGAATTTGTCATGATGTGCTCTGGGGCATTGTTCAGCAGGTGCTTAACATTTTAAGCATTGGTTTCTATCAGCCTTAATTAGGACTCACACCTTTGCAGTATAATTGTAATTATCAACAACTTCCTATCAGCACCATGACTTTTGCAATATGTTGCTTGCACCCCCCAAATGTTGTGAAATACAACAAACCAACAGAAATCCATCAGCACTGTTACTTGTCCTGTTAACGTTGGTTGTTTGCATTGTTTGCCTGGAAACACGTGTGATGTGAAAAACATGCCTGCGGGAACACAGTTGCAGAACCTGTGCCACAATATCTGATATTTACAATTGAAATTGGATTTAGGGTATAAACAACATAATTTTCTGGAACAACATCCATCAAATAACTTATCATCCGGTTTTCAAAAGAGTTGTGTGATTGCTACCTATTGTTCTTGGTGCCTGAAAGTAAGGGATGTCTACTTGGAAGAGTACTGTTGTCATTCTGTATGGTAGTGCCTCCTTCTGTCTAGACTGTTGTGTATGGGTTATGGAGCTGTGGTATATGCAATTTCCATGAGTATGAGCTTCTTGTTCTTTTGACTTGTTCACTGGTGATTTTTCATTCATGTCTCAGGTCATGTTTCAGCTCTGAAATCAGCATGGGCAAGACATGTTTAGCTCTACATGGGTTTCTGATCCTAAATGCTTCCATTCCTGCTGTAAGTCCTAGTAAAAAAAACTTCTAAAATTGTATGGTGTGTGCTCTATCAAAACTGTTATGCCCATGTTGTTGATACTGTTCTGTAAATGTTGTCAGCATTTGCAGCATGTGATGCTTTAGTACTGGCTTGTTGTTAGATAATATATTCTTGCTTTTTCTCTAATGTCTCTAAATTTTCTCTAATATTCTTGCTTTTCTCATATAATTGCAGGACCAGTTTTGAAGGTGCTACTAGCCTGTTAACACATTGTCATTGATTGTGATTAGGTGTGTGTTGTATTTTCTGGCATGCATTATGACTTCAAACAATACTCATACTGTCATTGATCAATTTGGTTTTTGATGCATGTTCATCAAGTGCCTACTGCTATTGATGAGGTAATAAGTATTGTTCTTGATGGCAGTGGATGTGGTAAGCATCTTCCCATGTGCAGGCTGCTTTGGTCATTCATGGTCTAGCAGACTAGGAGTTCATGCCTAGGCAGCTATGGTGAAAAAGGGGATGGTAGGCTGGAAGGTATAGAGTCTGTCTTGGTACAGAAGAGGGATAGAATGCCTCACCTAGATCAGCTGGCATGGTACTGCACTCCCCTCCCTTAAAGGTAATTTGCCTTATTGAGGGGTCCTTGGGCAGCTTTTTCATACTCCATGAGATGTTGCACCAGCATGTTTTAACAGCATGAGTAGAGCATGAGTCTGTTTTGATTAAATAAGGAAAACCCCTGGGAAACCTGGGAAAAATCCACACTTTAGGTATCTCCCTGGGTGTGCGGAGAATGTCATCATACACACTGTTATTGAAGGCCAGCAAGTTGTGATGACCCATATCACCATCAGAGACCATAGTGCCAGCTGGACATTGAACCTGAGCCCACCAGGCAGTGGCCTGTACCATTAGTCATTGTAATAGATGGCCACCTGTAGGTAGGCACTCACACAATCAGTACGCCTTGAACTAGGTGTTTAACATCCCCCTGGTAGAGGTCAAGGAGGGCCTTTAAAGGCAAACTTTGTGGAAAGGATATGCCATCTGTTCATGTGAAAGGGTTTGTTAGTTTTCCGGAGAACCATCGGACTTGCTTCGAAAACAGACGTTGAAAAGGAAGAGTCTCTACTAGCCAAAGAGTTGCAACATAAGGGTAAGAGAGGCGTTGGAAGGGCGGCGTCGCACACTCCGAAGTCGTCGTCGTCGTGTCGTAAACGCTGACGTGGCTCGCGTCGAGCCGCGCTCGTCAGAGGCCTGAAACATGGACTGATAGGCAGAGACCGTGCGTCCCTGCCCGCCGTGTTCCATAAACCCACGTGGCCCACATATGGGCTCCAGATGATGAGGACCAATCGGCAGGGTGGGCCCGCCCACACCATCGCGGGGATGCCGCCGCCCGCGCCGGCAGCGACGGCCCCCGTTTGCCTCGCCAACGCCATCCATGTATATGAATGATAATAAAACACCTGTTGATGGAAACTCAAACATTTGAGAATTCAGAGTCATTGGTCAACTCGAATCAAAAACCACCCCAAAACGCAACTGAAGAGACACGCCGCTTTTATCCGTCACTTGAGAAAAGTCAGTTGACCTACGCCATGCTGGATGCCCATGGGCTTGGAAGCATTTCCGAGGTGAGCTGCCCAGGGTTGTCAGTTAACGCTTCTGCATTAACCACTTGCGTTGTTCTGGGAACCAGAGGCAAGGGGGGTTCGATTCTCCGCGGTTGCCCGCGCTTCCTGCCGGGGGTGACGGAAGCAGGCGAACGCGCATCATATAGCATCAGCAGCTGAGACTACGTCGTAAGGCCCCCCAACCGACTTAACGAGGTGCACCTGTCCACTGCTTCCTGTCATCAGGTGCCAGGCGTACGTCACAGTGGCCGCAGCTGAAACAAGCCAGTGGGCAATATCACCTGGGACTTTCTTATCTTCACTCAGCATTGGCCTCAGACAACCGTGCATCGCGTACAAGGGCTGAGAAACAGTCAGCATGCCTGCGAATATTCAGCAAGGTCACCTCCTGGACAGTGCACGGCATCTGGTAAGTCTGCAGATAGAGCTGGCATGTGTATAGTGTGGTGAACCATTCTTTGGACTTGTGTAGTGGCGGTGTGTTTTCATTGAATCTCACAAGATAAGCACGCAAACAAGAATGGTGCAAATACTTCAGCAAAATAAGTGTATGATCGCTTTGAAGCTGGTCATCTGCATTGCGCATTCATAAGCTACATTTGCTAAATTTGTGTTCATTATTAACCTAGTTTTAGGTCCTCTGGCTTTTGAAAAAAGTGATCAGATAACTCAAGTTTCAAAAAGCTACTATGTTGAGCAGTGAAACCATGCTGTTAATACTGAAAGGAGCAAGATGAACTTCGCGAACTTCCTCAATGAACATTATAAATGATTGTTCAGGGGGCCCTTGCATGCTATAGCTGATGAGCGCGATTTACTGATGGTGGTGAAGCCTCCCCAAACTATCGCATCCTTGGCAATTACAGAGGTAGGGTTTTGTCAGTTCTATTACCAAGTGCTCTAGGAGCCTTTCCAAATGGGCCATGCAAATGGAAGGGGTCATATTATTATTTGTTGGCTAGCATGCCTGGGTTATAAGTGATGGGAATGGGCGGGTCAGGTCGAGATCCGACACGGGAGATGTGGTTATAGCAGTGTGAGGAATGCCCTGTCTCACCAGGCCGACCAAGGCAGGCACGAAGGGCCCACACAACTGTCAGAAGCTGCCGTTTGACATCACCAAGCTGACATTGCTGGAGCCGCGCCTGCTGGAGTTCTGGCCCAACGTGTTCGCCGGGAAGTCCGTCTACTCCCTCTGGAAGGGTAGTGCTCACGCAGGGCACAGCTCTGTACGGGCGACGTCTGCGTGGACGATGGATTTTAGGACTTTGGAATGGTGGTGCGCTTCCTTCGAGTTAAAATGGGACTGGTCCATGTTTTCTCGTTCAAATATTGTTGCGCGCGTGCTTGACTGCCGCCCATGCGTCGAGATGATTCATGGGGACTGTATGGCCATTCATGCCGATGCCTCGACTGCGTAATGGGTACTGGTTGGATTCTTCTTCTGTATCTCCATTGTGCCGTACTGGTAATAAGTGCTGTCCATGTCCCCACCCAGCAGCTCTTGATGATACGACTGAAGCGCTTTGCTTTAATCGCGCATCGTATCTCATCGGCGAGGCTTATTTTGCTCTTCAATCCGCCACTTCACGGACAGCGATGGCCAGCGATTCCTGCTGCCAGTTCACTTGAAGCTGTCACAATCAGCGTGTCTTAGACGTACTTTGCCGGCCGCGTGTAGCACTCCCAGTCATCTGGCCTCTCCAGGCCGCTCCCCTGCACGTGGCCCCACCTGTGTGTCCGCGCCGCAGCACGAGTGGACCAAGCACGGCACCTGCGCCGCCGAGCTGCCGTCGATCGGTGACGAGCGCGACTACTTCGCGCTCGGCCTGGCCTGGGTGGGCCGCTACCAGATGCTGCCGCTGCTTGCGGCCGGCGGCGTGCGGCCCGGCGCCGCCGCCTACAGCTGGAGCCAGGTCCGCGACGCGCTCCGGGCTCGCTTCAGCCACCACATGGTGGTCGACTGCGAGTTAGACACGGTAGGTGCGCGCCTCGGCGCCGCTGGGGCGAGGTCGCCTGCCGCCACCTGGGCGCGCCGACTGTGGACTGAGCGCTCCATTGTCCCTTGACCAACGGGTGTTGGATAAGATGGCGCCACCGGCGCGCGCTCGTTTTCGGGTGGTCATGTTTGGATGATTGTCTGTATGGCGAACTGATCAGTTTTCTAACGTGTCTAGTAAGATCGACCACAGCTTTCTGATATGCTATCTCAAGCAATGCGTGATATGCCAGCTCAACTGGCTATGCTTTTGATACAATATGATGATCAATGTGCCACATTGCCAATTGCTCTTCAGCTATGAACGTACGAGCACCGGCCAACACCGGTCATGCAGGGACATGCGGAGCACCGGCCAGCATCGGTCATGCAGGGACACGCTGAACACCGGCCAGCACCGGCCATGCAGAGACACGCCGAGCACCGGCCAACACCGGTCATGCAGGGACACGCTGAGCACCGGCCAACACCGGCCATGCAGGGACACGCCGAGCACTGGCCAACACCGGTCATGCAGGGACACGCTGAGCACCGGCCAACACCGGCCATGCAGGGACATGCGGAGCACCGGCCAGCACCGGTCATGCAGGGACACGCTGAGCACCGGCCAGCACCGGCCATGCAGGGACACGCCGAGCATCGGCCAGCACCGGTCATGCAGGGACACGCCGAGCACCGGTCAACACCGGTCATGGAGGGACACGCCGAGCACCGGCCAACACCGGTCATGCAGGGACACGCCGAGCACCGGCCAACACCGGTCATGCAGGGACACGCCGAGCGCCGGCCAACACCGGTCATGCAGGGACACGCCGAGCACCGGCCAACACCGGTCGTGCAGGGACACGCCGAGCACCGGCCAACACCGGTCATGCAGGGACACGCCGAGCACCGGCCAACGCCGGTTATGCAGGGACATGCCGAGCGCCGGCCAACACCGGTCATGCAGGGACACGCCGAGCACCGGCCAACACCGGTCGTGCAGGGACACGCCGAGCACCGGCCAAGACCGGTCATGCAGGGATACGCCTAGCATCGGCCAAGACCGGTCATGCAGGGACACACCGAGCACCGGCCAACACCGGTCATGCAGGGACACGCCGAGCACCGGCCAACACCGGTCATGCAGGAACACGCCGAGCACCGGCCAACACCGGTCATGCAGGGACACGCTGAGCACCGGCCAACACCGGTCATACAGGAACACGCCGAGCACCGGCCAACACCGGTCATGCAGGGACACGCTGAGCACCGGCCAACACCGGTCATGCAGGGACATGCGGAGCACCGGCCAACACCGGTCATGCAGGGACACGCCGAGCACCGGCCAACACCGGTCATGCAGGGACATGCGGAGCACCGGCCAACACCGGTCATGCAGGGACACGCCGAGCACCGGCCAACACCGGTCATGCAGGGACATGCGGAGCACCGGCCAACACCGGTCATCTGCCCGCAGGAGACGAAGCGCTGGTACTTGTCTCAGATCAAGATCTGCCTGGACAAGTCGTTTGAGCTGATGGACTGCCACAACCACGTGGATGTCATCACCACCAACTGCCCGGCCGAGGGCATACTGTACCCGCCCATCGTGCCGACCCCGGCGGCGGCGGCCAGGAGCGAGCTGTGAGTGCCACTGTCGGCCGGCGCACCGTGCCGCCGTCGCGGCGCCGGCCGGCCGCAGGGCACCGCCGGGCTCGCGGCCGTTCCAGCTGGGACAGCTCTCAAGCGTCGACACGCCGCCAGACGACGGCCCCTGTCTGGTCGTTGGCGGGGTGGAGGCTCAGGCATGCCCAAGAACAGTTCTAGTCTGGCGTGAGACGGGACACTGGCACTAACCAGCTAACCAGAGGAGTCGGCGCAGCGCTACTAACCGTAGCTGCGCACTGCTGCTCCACACTGGCCGGCATTAGTTCAGCGGTTCTAACCAGCGCTTCAGAATGGCAGATTTGTCAGGCTTTGTACCGCTTCCGGACGACAAGACTGGTGCGTTGTGGAACTTCCTAGCACTTCCCACCTAGAATGGAGGACAATAGTAATAAGTGTGGGCTTCTGATTGCTGGTATGTGGTGCTCACGTTGTTAACGCAATCTTGTCAGTTGAATGCAAAGCACTTTATTTTAGTGCCGTGTTCGGGCTTCTTGTAATCACGGTATCGTGCCTTGTTGTCCTTATTTCTGTATTTTTATTTGCTTGCGCTGGCGTGGCCTCGAATGATCGGCTAGCAGGGACCATGTTGGTTCACGCTGTGTTCTGTGTACTGCTGACTGCCAGCGGTGTGCGCGCACATCATATGATTTGGCATACGTGGAGCGGAGCTGGTCTGCACCCCTTTCACCGGAGGCGGCCCAGTACCAGCTGTCAACGGTCGCCGCGTCACGCACTGACGCCGTGTTTTCAGCGTCGACATAGTGGAGGTGCAGTTGCTGGCTGATGAGCCGCCGCAGGACCTTTACCGTTCGTGGTACGGGCTTCGCGTGTGAGATCGGGCGGCCCGACGGCGGCCGTGGTGCGGCTCATCACGGGCCGGGGCTCGACTCTCCTGTCCTGAGCGAGGGCTCGACTCCGGGCTCTGGCTCCGGGCTCCGTTACCGGCCGGGTCTCCACTGCGGGCTCCGTCACGGGCCAGGGCTCAACTGCAAGCTCCGTTACGGGCCGGGGCTCGACTGCAACCTCCTTCAAGGGCCAGGGCTCGACTGCGGGCTCCGTCTGGACCCGGCACCCCTCGCCCAGCGTCTGTCTCGAGCCGGCACCCCTCGCTCAGCTCCCGTTCCGAGCCGGAGTTCCGCTCTACCCGCGTTCAGTCAGAGCCTCCTGAGCCGGCGGCGTGCTGTTGTGCCGTCGTTTCGCCCCTCTTCGACGCTGGCTCCTCCCCTGGCGCAGCGGTGACCGGGCGTCTCGCCGAGCGCGCCGCGCTGGTGGTACCACCGCGGTGCGTCCAGCGCCACTTGCGCGGCTCTAGTCGGCTACGGTCGCTCGCGCTGCCCCTTGCTCGCTGTGTCCCCCATGGATGCGTTATTTGTGCACTGTTTGTGTGCACTGCCTGTGGCATAGTACTTGCAGGCCCACTTCGCGGTGAGCTGCTGTGTGTTTGCCCATGAAGGATGTATTGGCGGGAAGGGACGGGCGCGCAATTCAGTAGACATTTAGAACCAACGTCAAGGTGCTGTTCGTTTGTGAGGCTCGATGCCGTGCAACCAGACGTGGCTGTGCTCGTGTCCTGAAGATGCTTCGCCGATAACGTGTGCCAGGAGTTTGACAATGCAATGCTTTTCATTGAACTTGACTGTTCATGTCGCGGAGTTGTCATACGGCGAATGTGGCGGTACAAAGGAAAATTGCACGACTTATGCTTTGAGATCGCGGTGTCGTTTTGATTGGCTTTGTCTGGAGTTTCCATTTTACCGTTCCCAGCTGGTATGGTGAACTGAGCATAAAGGACAGTGTTCACTTGCAATATGACAATAATAAACCTGTCAATGTTTTCGTTCTTCTGTAAATAATGCTGTGTAAACACACTATGATGCACGTGGATGGATTGCGCCTGGTAGCGCTTCGTTCCTGAGCTGAGGATGGACGATTGAGCTCCCGCGCCCGGGTGCTACCCCGCTGGCTGGAGCTCCAGGTGACGCCGACGCAGCGCAGCCACCTTCAGCGCCGCAGTCCTGGTCGCTGCGGGCAGGCGAGGTCAGGGGCGCCGACTGAGCAGCACCCTAGTCCCGCAGCGGGGCCAAAGGCGGGCACGCTCATACAGGTGCTTGACCCCGCCTCTCGGCTTTACCGATTCGCCAACGTTGCTGGGTGACAGATCGACGGGCAAATGTTAGCAGGTTGGACCGCGAGCGCCCCAGTCGCACAGGCCGGACTGCCAGCGCCCCAGTCGCACAGGCCGGACTGCGGTCGCCCCAGTCGCACAGGCCTGACTGCGAGCCCCAGTCGCACAAGCCTGACTGCGAGCGCCCCAGTCGCACAGGTCGGACTACGAGCGCCCCAGTCGCACAAGCCCGACTGCGAGCGCCCCAGTCGCACAGGCCGGACTGCGGTCGCCCCAGTCGCACAAGCCGGACTGCCAGCGCCCCAGTCGCACAGGCCTGACTGCGAGCCCCAGTCGCACAAGCCTGACTGCGAGCGCCCCAGTCGCACAGGTCGGACTGCGAGCGCCCCAGTCGCGCAGGCCTGACTGCGAGCGCCCCAGTCGCACAGGTCTGACTGCGAGCCCCAGTCGCACAGGTCTGACTGCGAGCCCCAGTCGCACAGGCCGGGCTGCGAGCGCCCCAGTCGCACAGGCCGTACTGCGAGCGCCCCGGTCGCGCAGGCCGGACTGCGAGCGCCCCAGTCGCGCAACTGCGAGCGCCCCAGTCGCACAGGCCGGACTGCGAGCGCCCCAGTCGCACAGGCCGGACTGCGAGCGCCCCAGTCGCACAGGCCGGACTGCGAGCGCCCCAGTCGCACAGGCCGGACTGCGAGCGCCCCAGTCGCACAGGCCGGACTGCGAGCGCCCCAGTCGCGCAGGCCGGACTGCGAGCGCCCCAGTCGCACAGGCCGGACTGCGAGCGCCCCAGTCGCACAGGCCGGACTGCGAGCGCCCCAGTCGCTAACTACCGTGGGGACAGTTGGATGGTGTCCACCCTAGTGATACATCTCAGGTGATGGGCGCCAGTACTGCCCAATACAGGCGCCGTGCCAGCCAGTCGGTATTCATCTTACATTATGTAACCCTGCGATCTGGTTGGCGTCGCAGAGACTTTAGCAATGATGCACACCCCAGAACTATTTCTGCGGAATCCAGCTTAGGTGGCTTCTTGCCGCGGCCTTTTTCGGTCACTGGCGCTGTGGAACCTGGAGGACCCCACCACT